GAGCACTTTCTGTCTGTTGAAGATAGTGACTGTGAAAAGCGGTTTGTTTTCTAGCACAGAGCAAGCCTCAAGACAATGAAATGTCAGGTTTGTGTTTAGTAGCCTTACACAGGAAAACTTTCCTTTTTCTCATACTCCATACACAGTTGGTGCAACCATAAAAATTGGATTTCAGTAGGAAAGTTGCATATAATACATTCCATTTTTTTCCTTGTAGAAAATGGATTTTGCTTTTTCTCATGCTTTTGTCATGTCCTCAGTACTTACGAATAAAAAGTTGGGTAGCAGTTTAGGTGCATGTTGAGCCATCTGCGTAGCCCTGTATAACTTTGTACATTTTCATGTTGTACTCCTGAGAGAGATTGTAAAATAAGCGTGGAAATACATGGAATTGCCACTGGCTTTCATAGGTTAAGTGTATTTAGACTCTAAAGTCTAAAATACAATTCACAAAATGTGTATTTCTGCCTCTTGGACCGTGTAAGTACGGTGTTGACAGGCGCTTTCCAAGTGCCAGTTGACTCAAACATGCTCCCTTCTGGGATGCTGCTGAGCCATGTCACCGTTGTGCCTAGATGCACCTCGTACTAGCTCTGCAGATGACATCTTTTAAATGAAAGTTGAAACCAGTCTTCTGCTGATCCTTTTTTAAAGACCAAGTGATACTTACCTGAATATACAATTGATTTTCTTTGATGTGTTAAGGAAAAAACCCAGCAGTTTGGGTAACTATAGCCTTGCTGAATTTCCCCCTGAGTTTTTATTTGATGCGTATTATTCACTTTAGCTTACACATGCTACTGCACAGATGTATTGCATCAAATACAATATACCACATCAAGACTTTTAACACAAGTCCTTTTTTGGTTTACAGGGTTTTCAGTGAATGCTTCATCAGAGCGGCTCAATATGGGAGAAATAGAGACTCTGGAAGACTACTGAGCATGTGCAAATCAGCTGGCTTTTCCTGCATCTGTTAACCATGGATTCTCCGTTTTGGACACAGTACTCTCCACCGTGCGTTCTTCTTCGCCTCACAGTGAATCACAGAATCAATCATCTCAGGCTACTTCCTCTAGCCCCAGCAAACCCTTTCTGCCCAGGACTGCACAGGCGTTGTTCCTACTGTCAGCCTACAGTCGAGTGGACTTTCGTTCAGAGTCCTGGGAGGGTGGGAGATAGGATTCGTTCACAACGAGGCTGATTTGGGCAGCAAGCTTTCACTGTGCTGTGATTTCTTCTGCTGACATACCTGGAAAAAAAAAAAAAATCAATTGGGATTCTGCAAACCATTGCTTCCCTCTCCTGGTTACTCTTACCACATCCAACACGTGCAGTCATGGAGAGAGAGAGAGAGTTTGTGGTTAACAGATGTTGGTCAACACCAAAATGCCACACAGATACTGACTTCCACGCTCCATCAGGGCAAGAGGTGCTCTCCCAAGCCAGGAGTTGCATTCATAAGCTAACCTTAGAACTGGCAACAGCAGGAGAAGGGGCGGTGGCGGGCGCAGTTTAGCTTGGGTTGGTTTGAAGTTGCACACCCCCTGCCAGCCCTTCTCAGCACATTATTTTTGGAGGGAAAGCTCGAGTCTGTCTTCATTAGGTGGTGATGCTGAAGCTGGTGGAGTTCCCCGTCGGCATACTCCAGCCTTCCTGGACAAGTGGGGGCTTCTACTCTGGGGGGAAAAAAGGGGGGTGGCATCTCTTCTTTCAGGTTGAATTTATCCCTTAAATGCTACCTTCGGAGGGTTAGGACCAGTTTATTTTGAGCTCTTTTCCTGCAAATTTGTCTCGTTTAAGAGACAGTAGGATCTTTACCGTGTGGATCTTTAGTCTTTGGTGAGGGTGAACACTGGCTTTCAGATATATACCCCAGCAGTCTTAGCTAGTTGTCATTTCAAGCAGTGCTTAGGTTAATGAGCAGAGATGCCCTTTTGTCATGAAGAGAGACTGTGGAGGGCGAAGCTATGTGCAATGACGGCCCTGCTTATCTTCTACACCTTAAAGTATTTCACACACCTTCACTGGGATCCGTAATCTTTAAGTATTTATGGAATCATAACCTTCCTTCCTCACCGAAAGATTAACACCGCCTTCCCTTCTCCGCCCACCCACACGCGCACACCACAAAAGAAAGAAAGAAAATGAAAACTGCCAAATGCACTTAGTTTCAACCCCCTGGTCCCATCTCCCATTCCCAGAGAGTTATAACCTGCCAAGGGAGATACGCTACAGTTTTGGTGGAGTTGTATAAAGGTGTCTGTCATTCTGTCATCACTGCCTAAAGAAAACAGTTCGAGTTGCTCAAGAGCAGTTTGGCTTTGGATTTTATTTCGTTTGGTTTATTCATTTTTTTGGGGTCACCTTCCCCTCCTCCTCTCTCTTCCCCCTGCCCCCCCAACATGTACAGTAACTATACAGAGACTGCTGCAGACTTGTATATAGTTTTTGGATCCAATAGCATGGAGAGACTTGGAACTGTTGCAAATCTGGTCTCCCTGTCTCCTTTGCTTTGTAAATTCATAAAAGGGGGAAGAGGGGTAGTTAAAATGTTTACAAAACTTTAAACTCCCTCTGAACTTTTGCCAGTGTGGGGGGGGAAAAAGAGAGAACTTAAATAAAACCTGGTTGTATTATATCTGAGAGAAAACTTTCTGCTTGCTTTTGTCAAAGCTGAGTTTTGAGATAATTCCTCGTGCTAAAACTGACCCAAAACTCGAGTCGCATCAGTTTTCACCAAGAAACAACAAGCAAATACACAGGACGTGGAACAACAACCGCTGCTTTATTTCTTCCCTGGTGAGGAATACTGGTGGGTTTTTTCTACTTGATAATTTTAGAGTTCAAATAAACACCAGTAGGTTGAGATTGGAAAATTCTGACAAGAAAGCTTTAATTTTGCCCCCCTCTCTGTACAGAAACACGTGCATTCATGCTCCTGGTGTTTATGCAGGAGAGATGAAGCCACGGCTAGTTTTCTGTTAGTACAAACCCTCGGCCATGGAGCCTTTTCTTCCCGGTTGGTAACCACCCCACCCGCTCCAATTCCCCTCCCTAAATGAGAGGTTTTATTTCTCCCATCAGCGTAAAGTCCGCATGGACACCTTGTAGGCTTCCCTTTTTACACAAAATCTTTTCTTTTTTTTTTTCCTACTTGCTGCTTGTTTTTGTGTGGAAAATCCCAGTGAGAGTTAATGATAAATGTCCTACCATTCATATGACCACAAAGAACATGAAGTTAGTATACTAAGACCTAACTTACACAGTAGCTTTGCATTATGTTTAGCTGGTATTTTGGAGAGAACAACACATGTTAGGCTGCTAATTTGATTTTGTTTTAATACCTTCTTTTTTTTTTTTTTAGCATATAAGGTGCCTGGTTCATAAGTACTTTCTGGTTTTTTAATTATATGATCCAATTTCTACAAGCTAATTTTTGACTACTCTATAATGTGTCACAAATAAGCAAAAGCCTATTAATTTCCAGCTCAGCTGGGGAGCAGGAAAGGAACAATTCATCGATTTGCTAAATGAAAATGCAGAAATGCAAGCAGAGAAAATGTGCAATAATTTGTCAAACCCTGAGGACCTTGCTTCTGAGAGTTTGTAGATAATGGACCCACAGCGAAGATCTTGTTCTTACTATTTTAATATTCTGGCTTCTGTATTTAGTACAAAGGTAAGACGCTGGCATGTTCAGATTGTGTGCTCAGGTGATGGGCCTGTCACCTTCTGTGACAAACGGGGCCTGTTTTTGTAGCGAAAGTCGTTTGGATCAGTGGGGATGGGAAAAATAGGCACTGCAGCTTTGTATCTGCTGCTGGATTTATATTGATGCACTTCCAGCTCCTTTTCAGGCAGAATGTGAACCGGGAAAGCTAATGGGGCTTTGAGTTTGAAGGATGATACTGAATTTGATGCTGGAGATGTCTGAGGTTCTTTCAAGCACATTTCACCAGGTAACTTCTAACTCCTCACTTTGCTGCAGGGACACTGCTCAGGTCTCTCTGGTTTTCCCGCTTCCCCTCACAGCCAGGCGCTTCCGCAAGGAGTTGCACCAAGCAGAATGATTTAAAAGGACACCTGAACTGAATCTGGCTGCCTGTCAGGGAAGGCCAAAAAGCAAAGAGATCTTTACCAGAAAAATCTGAATCTGAAATTTAAGAGAAAACTACTTGTGTCATATGTTCAGACCATAAAGAACTGGCATTGGGGATGTTTATGCACTTTATCACATCTTTTTCTGAATGGAGACCATGAAGTATTTTATCCTTGCATCAACTTAAAGTCCTAATGAAATTCTTCTGTCCCCTGACAATAAGCTGAAGTGTTCCCCTTTTTACACACTTCATCCTTTCTCAAGTCTCTGTCTGCAAATGTGATTTGAAACAAACTTTGGTTTCTCTCTGCTGTGAACTTTACACGAGCCCAGGTGGAGGGGAGGGACAGAGTGGCAGGAAGAGGTAGTGTCTGTGCAGTTCAAATCCGAGGAGGATGCCAGTCTTGCCTGGCAAAGGCGACTCTCCTGGAAGACTGACCAGATTTTAACAGGCAGTGCTGCCAGCAGAGACCACCCACGGCTCCTAGCCCACCTCTGTAAGTATTGCACCCAGAAAACAAGGATGCCACGGAGCTGCTCTGGCTCCATTTCAGAGCATTTTAGCCTCAAAAGATTGAGGCCCTTGTTCTTCGCTGTGCCCACCCTGGAAAGACCACCGCCGCCGCCCTGCACGCCAAGGAGAGAGCAAAGCCCTCGAGCGGTCTGCTCGGTTTCGGGGTTAGCTGCCCCAATGGCTCCTGTGTTATTTCCCGTGGCGCGGGCCGGCCGGCCAGAGGGAAGGCATTCCAGGAGCATCCCCGCGTCCTCTGGGAAGGGCTCGCCAACAACTGCTGGTGTGTGCGCTGGCCTGGCAGGGTGACGGATGCCTAACGGCCCGGCTGCCTATGGGGTTTTAGGCACAAATCTGAGAGGGTGGAGCTGCCTTCGGGAGGAGGTGTGCTCGAGAAGTCAGAGAGAGAGTCTCTGCTGGGCTTTGCACTCTCTCTGTCCACTTGCTGTTGTGAAGGAAATTTTTTTTTTTAACCTGACTGGACAAAGTTTTTATTATACCAGTGACATTTCCAAGCTGTTTCGTACTTTGAAGAGTTTTGAGAATTCCTGCCGACGCTTTTCCTGAGGGAAGCCATGCCCTACCACAGAGTCCTTCGCCTGGTCCTGCTAACACTGTGCAGCATCCTGGTCCCTGCTGTGCTGGCAGGTAAGGAGCTTTGTTTGCATTTAAAGCCCAAAAGCGTGGGAGATCTTTTACTAATCTGCCTTTACTAACCTCCTCTTCTTGCATACCTCCTCTTCCCTGAAAACATTCATAAGTATTTATTGAATTATAATCAAGTAATGAAACTAGCTTTGGAATCGGTGGCTGATGGTGAGTAAGGATATATTTTCCACCCTGAGACCAGGTTTCTGTTGGGGGAAAATGGAGAAAATCCTTCAACTTCTAAGCTGAACAGCAGTAGTGCTTCCGTGAGCATTAGTGCCAGCAGGATCAGTAGACAGATCAGTCAGCAGTAGTTGGGTCGCTCTCAGCAGCTGATGGGACAGGTTATCTGTCAGCTTTCAGTGGTAGGAAGAAGTTACAATCGAGAAAAGAAACATTTTTCTCTGGCTAAAGCATGTGTGCAAATTGTGGGTTCCTTCGATGCTTGCTGCTGTAGCAGAACACTTCACCACAGCTGCTGTAAGTAGAAATATGGAAGCGTCTATGAAGACGTTTAGCTCAGTCAAAAGCTGAGGGGCACAGCTGAACTGTTGGCGTTTCAGTCGAGAGCTGGGTGTACTGAGACAGGCGGCAGCGCCGGGAAGGGTACGTGGCTGCGACTCAAGGTCAGCGATGTGATGGGAAGGGTTTGTGTGAGAGATCTATTCTGTCAGACGCTGTTTTTTCAGGAGGTGGTTAGTAATTTCAGCCTTACCTGCTCCTGCTTTCAGCACAGCTACGTGGGCTGAGGGGAACCAAGGGCACAGTCAGCCTCAAAGGCTGCCTGGTCTGAGATGGGGTTTACCAATGAGGGAGAACCGGCTTCTGGACCGACTCCGAGTATACGGGGGAACTCCTATGGAAAAGCTGCTTGCTTTAGTGCAGGCGAGACTGCGAGGGGATGGCTCAGGCCAAGATAACAGGCAAGAGCACAGCAGTTGTTTTCCTAAATTCTTCTCCTGCCTTCCAAGACCTGGAGCAAGGCTGGCTCGCAGTTCCCTCCCAGTTTGTTCTAACCATCTTGCTTAGCAGGGAGATCCTGGCCAGTCTTCTAGCAGATGAAATTATTTCTTTTTTAACAGAGCTTTCATATGGGTAGGGGAATTTATTGCTGCATCTAGCTGGAACATCTGCAGGTGCCAGGAACAGAATTACTGTAGCTGGTATTTCCCCAACAGATCCTTGGACACCTTGCTGGGAAACCTTTACAGTAATTAAGAAATGAGCACTAAAAAGTGGATGTTGTCCTTCTCAGACCCTGAGTTTTGGTTCTCGTATAGTGGAACATTAATCACTTAAGCACAATTTCAGTTTGTAGCTTGCTCATGCTCCCAGAAGCAGTGGCAGTGCTCTTCCCCAAAACCAGGTAAGGTCTTTTCTTAACTGTTAACAGTATTTCACTCTGCAGAAATTGATTCATTTTCAGTGAAAATGTGATCTGCTTCCCCTCTGAGCTAGAGTTTCTCCTACGCTATTTTAAGTTTCCAATATTCGGTGTATATTTGCTCTGTCCCTTGCCTTGCCAACTTTCCCGTGTACTTGCTCTTGGCTCAGCGTTGCAGCTATGGTTTGTACCTGTCGCTGCCTCCCTGTGTCACTTTGCTCCTGTGAAATACCCCAAGTTCACTTGATTCCTTTACCGGGCGAGTCACACTCGCGCAGCAAGGCCAGTAGCTCTTGAGGAGCTTTGTACTGATGAATGCAGCATTTGGATCCGGGGGCGTAGGAGAGGCTCTAAGCTTTCTCTGTCACACTTTAGAGGCTTGAGGCCTCTGAGAAGTTTGTTCTTCTCCGCCACCTCAAAGCCAGGCATCAGGGAACCAGCCTGTATGGTATGCCATCCCCAGAGCGGATTTTCTGCTGCATTAGGAGTGGAGATGTACCTCCCTCCAGTACAGGGCCTTTTAGTGCACAGTGGAATTTTTTCTGCTTTTCACGCCATTAGAAAAGGAAATTTCCTGCCTTGTGCAGACAAAGAAGGGAAGGGCGCACAGACAGCCCTCTGGGCTCTGTGCATACACATGCAGCCCTGCCTTTCTGTAAACAAGTTTATTTAACATTCATCAGGACCGCAGTGCTCTGTGCCGCTCCACACTTGAGCTCCCGGCTCTCGCACATCACAGGCTGCCCTTTGTGCTCCCTATGAAGGCCTCTTTTCATCCCTGCCCTGGCCCTGCGCCCGCTGTGGCTCCCTGCGGCTGGACAGCCCGTTGCTGGCCTCAGAGTTCACCCAGCCCCTGCCTTCCCATCTCAGCACCTTGTACTTTCCGTAGCAAAGCCCTCCAGGGTGGGCAGGAGCTGAGTCTGCCTCGGACAGGGCTGCGGGTGATGCCAGCCATGCAGACGTAAGGTCTAGAATGAGTCTTCCCTTCCTTGTTGGATTTAATTTTTATCTCAGCAGTGATTCCGAGCTACCCAGTACCAAAACCGCCGGGTAAGTGCTCAGGAATTCAGTGAGACGTGAAGGATCTCACTGGCAGTTGAGGTTCCCATCTGGGGGTAGCAGTCCGAACACTTTTGGGGTGCCAGTGGGTCGTGTACCCTGATCTGGTGTCTTGCCCAGCCAGTCTGGTTTCCTGGATGGTGTGGTCACGGCTCTGTGACTGCACAAAGTGTGAATTTCTCCTCCAAAGTACCGAGCTCTTTCCAATATCTCATTTGTCAGAAATGGGGAACCTTGTCCACCTCATCTTAGTGCAGCAGGAAACAGAGCCAGTTCAAGGACTTTATGCACAGCCAAATCCTTTTTTCTACCTTCTCCAAACCCAAGTGGCACTTAGGCCTAGAGCACAGGAGGATTGTGAAGAGTTGATTTTTATGTTTTTCCTGTCAGCAAAACCAGTTTCAATCCATATAATGGGCTCAGAGCTCCAAGTGAAGTGGAAGTTAGTAAAAAGCCTTTGCAAGGCCTTGACTTCTGAATCCTCTGTATGTTCAGTATCAAAACTCTGATGCGGACTTACAAATTTCCTTGTTTTGAGCTAATGTGGAAATACATTATCCTGCAGTAGCACATCAGAATGCATATGGGGGGAAAAAAGCAGCAGAGCAGGCGATGTTGTGCTAAAGGAGAAGGTACAGAAGACCTTGTCCCAGGACATCTTTCTGTAGCAACTCGTGTGTCTCCATCCTCAACAACAGGCGAATAAAAGATTATGAGGACGTTTTTAAAGTTCAAGTACTAGAATGTGAGAAGTAGTAAGTAGGTTTTGTCAGGCAAATATCTTAAAAAGATGTGGTGGTTCTAACAAGTCTGCCCAGACTTACAGCAAGTCTTTTTGTAGACCATTACTCAACTTTGCTCTGCACCAACACTCCTTATAAATTACTGACATAGTGTCAGCTCCCGACTAAGGTTGCTGTGTTGGAGGTGGAGAGCGTACTCCAGAAAGCAGCAGGTAACCTTGACTTTTTCCCCCTCCTTGTAATGAATGTAATGTGAAGAGACACAAACTTGTGGAATGAAAGGAAGAAAAGCCCCCAGGTTCTGAAAAGGATGTGAGCAGCAGCGTTGGATGCCGTCGAGTTGACCTGTGAACTGTTGTGACTGAAAAAACTGTGCAATGCTCACGTTACAGCTGGTGCCCCAGGACCAGTGACCATCTGTGTCCTATTGAGGCACTCATTGCTGTTACTGCAGGCATAAATTTGTCACCCGATGGAGGAGGAAAGTCTTGCTGTCATCTCCTATTGACAGGCTGCGAGGATGATGAAATGCTGAAACCCGCTTGCGTGAGGAAGCGTATTGGTCATTGGTGGCTGATCTCCAGGGATGAAGATGTTAGGTGGTCACACCTTCCTGCCTTGAGGTGTTGCAGAGTCTGCCTGTGGGGAGGTTCTGGTGGTTTGGGGGTATCTTGAAGGATTCTTCAGATCTGATCATCCTTCCAGAGCTATCACTTGTGGAGACCTTTCTAGTCTTTCAGCCACAGGTATCTGGCGTAAGGGCTCCCATGTCGCTGTGCTGGCAGCTCACCCCGCCTCCTTTGCGCTGAGTGTGGAAATAGTGGTTTTGTCAAGTTGCCTTTGGCATCATCCCTTCTCTTTGGTGTCGTCCCTTCTAGATCTCACTGAAGTCCTGGTGGGTCCCTGCATCATCAAGAAAACTCATGGTGTATTTATTGTGTAGTAACTCTGGTATTTTTCTCCCCTTTTCCTGGCCTCAGTTGTAACTAACCTGTGCTGGAGAGAGGGAGAATACACAAAGCAGTATAGCGATTTCCCTGAAATAAGGCAATTTGTAGTGTGAACATGTGGGAAGGAAGAGGTGCCATCCTCTACCTGGCCTGTTGCAAAAGTCCTTTTTGGACTTGTGATGGGTGATGTGTTTCGAGTGTGTTTCTTGGTAGTTCTTTATTTTTACGAAGTTCTTGGGTGAACGGGAAAACCATGCACTACCTTGCCTTTGATACTTGATTTTCAACTCTCAATTACACTCCCTCACTTGAGATTGCAATGCATTTGAGTGTTTTGCACAAGTAAAAAATACTGTGCCCTGCCCCAAGGCTGTGGAGGTCCTGTGTGACTTGTCCTCTCTCTGTGAAGAGCTGCCGTTGGGTCTGGAGCTGTCACTCGGAGGCATTTGTTCAGGCACACCGACCGCGTCCTCCTCATCGCTGTCAGGATGACAGTAACCAGGCGGGCAGGCCTGGCTGCTCGGGTGCTTCTCTCCTAGATTGTACAGTCCTGGTCTCCTGCTCCTGCAAGGAGAAACTGAGCCCAGGAGGGAGAGGGACTTGCAGTGGTCACACAGAACGTCAGCAGCAGAGCAGAGAACCTCCTGAATCAGGTCCCACACCTGTAGTTAGAGCCTGTCTGGTCAGAGTGTATCCAAGAGGCCCTCGTGTCTCGCTTGGAGACGTGTGAGACCTTATTAATAGTGTGTGTGTGTTTGGGTTTTGGCACCTAACACGAGCTCTGTCCTTCCCCCTCGCCTTTCTTGCTTTTACCAGAGGACTGAAGCGGGAGCGTGGCGTTTAATGCTGCTCGGTTAGAGATCTGCTGCTCTGGCTGACGCTCGCTGGGACTGCCGGGGTGCTGCAGGGGGGGAGCAGGTGTGATCCCTCTGGCTGTTAAACGTGCTGGATGTGCAGCGATACTTGGGATGGACAGTTGGGCTTCTCAAACACACAGAAGCATGTGAGGACACGAGCTGTTAGTTTAGGAGGGAAAATCAAAGGCAAATCTTGGAAAGAAAAGTGCTGGTTACAAACAGGCGCTCTCCAGGCTGCAGAGTTTGCTCTGGAGAGACCTGGTGGCTGGCAGCTTTCGCTGGGGACAGGGCTTGCCTTTGGCTTTGTGTTCCCCCACCCCATGTGCCTGCTGCAGGGCTCTCGGCATCTGCTCTAGCAGCATCGAGGAGCAGGAACCAAAGAGGAACCCGGCAGTAAGCCCTGGCTCTTGATGATGTTAAGACACAGGTATTTCACTTTATGCGTGTGCACGACCCTGCTGCTGCTTCTGAACTGACAACTCCTGTTAGTGAGGCACTAACCTGACTGAAAGGAGTTGTGTTTCCCTTGGTTGAAGTGCCGTTAAGGTAAAACCACAAGAACTTGGGACAAAAACCCCTCATGTTTAGCACACTCTGCCCTTTCTGTGAGGGTGAACTGAAAGCATGTTTTAATCAGATGAGGGGGATTAACAAAATACGTATCCAGAAGCCATCCAGGACTCTATCCAGGTCTTAAAAATCAACGAGATCATAAACAAATTAGACTGTTTCCTCTCTACTTGGCTATCAAAAATAAGCTCTGTGCCCCGCTTAAAAAGAGCTGCGATAAATTTTTCAGGAATGAGATGCAGTGGGGACAGGAGAGACTTTCTTGGACCTGTGGCTCTGGTTGGGACAGCCTTTGTGTTCAGGTTTGAAGGGGAAGCACTCCCTCCTCATCCCTTTGAGAACAGGGAATTGGGAAGACCCTGTCCAGGTCCTACAGGCTCCCTGGACGGTGCCTGAATCGGTTGTAGCTCATCTGAGCTACCGCCTTTCCCCGGGTCAGATGCAAGGGGTACACCCTGCTCTTTTGGCTTTGGAGAGAAAAACATTCTTGGGAAAAGCAACAATGACGTCCTCCCGGCGTGGTGTTCTCTTGCCAGGTGGGAACAGCTGCAGTGTTGGTGCTGGCCCTGGTGGTGCTGACACAGTCAGGAAGGCTGTAGCTGGAGTGTAGCTCTTCTGTCTGGAGTTCCTCCACTTGCCAAAGCAGCCTGGAACTGGGGCTTCAAAAGCATTACGTACGTTTGGTCTGTGCCTAAACCAACAGGTTCCTAATGCCACCATTGCTAATTAAATAGCCCCAGCTCTGCTTGGTTCCTTTCCCTGTTGTTTTAACTACATTTACCCACTAAATTCTGTATTTCCTCCTGATCTCTCCTCTGGTAGCTAAACCTCAGGATTTACAGGAGAGAGGTCCACTGGAAATGGCACTTTCTGGAGGAGCCTCTGGATGGGATAGCAGTCCCCATCTCTGCTGGTTGGTTTTGCAGGACAGGTTGGGAAGGGACCCACAAAGGGTTTGGGTATTTCTGGGGAGCCCTCGTGGAGCACAAACCTCTTGTGCGCTTGTACCGGGGACCCAAGATGCCACCTTCTCCCTAGGGTGGGTCAGCCAGCCTGAGTGTGCTGGTGTCACTGCCTGGCTTCACTGGCACAGGCCTCAAACTGGGGGCTTATTTCTCTCTGTCATTGCTCGTTGGGCCAGTGTTAAACCTGGTAGCTCTCTCGCTGAAAATCCTGTAGCTTTTATGGCTGTAGAAAGGACTTTCCAAAACTAGTCTAGAACCCAGTTGTGTTCCCGAGTCTGCAGGCAGCCTCAAATAGCTCTGGGGATGGTGGGAGCTACCCTTTGATATGAGCCCCGCAGTAAGTCCTGTCAGTGAGTTTGTACAGGCAGCAAAGGTGCGTGTTTCGGTGTTGGTCCTCCTGTTCCTTTTGATGCAGGGCTCCAGAGGAGACCAAAATGTGGTGGAGCCCGTTACCACCGATTCTTCAGCCTGCTGTGTTCCCACAAAGTACTGGCTGCCCCCGGGAGGGAAGGAGGGTTCCAGGTACTTCAAGCTGGGGCTGGCACTGCCGAGACGTGCTGCTACCACCTCTCCTTCTGGGCCAGGGACAGCCCGGGACAAGCCTTTGAGTGCCCCTGGTACACCGAGAGACACCGTGCCAGAGCTGGGGTGCGTGAGGATACCTCTGTGCCTTGCTCCAGGGAGCTCACGCTGTTTGCTCTGGCTCCTCTGATGCTCTCTTTCCCGGCCCCAATAACCGTCGCGTGAGTTCAGGTGCTGGATGCTGTTCATTTTCTTCCCCTCCTTTTTTTTTTTTCCTCCTCATCCCAGTGCAACATTCCCAGTGGTTTCGGCAGGGAGCTGTGGAATGTCTCCTGCTCCCATCGGGGCCCACCTGAACAAGCTGGGCATTGACAGGGAGCGCTCGGCTCAGCCACACGCAGACAGGGAGGGCTCTGGTTTGGTCCCTGACCCCACAGTGGGAAGAAATAACAGGAGGTGAATGGTAACATCAAACAGAGCCCAGACCTGCCTTTCATCTCTGCGCACGACGTGGAGGTGGGGCACAGGGAAGTCGAGGCTCTGGGGCTCCTGTCTGGGGGAGCCGTGTCCTGCCAGCGCCTCTGGCATCCTATGCTGTGTAGGCCGGTGGTGCAGGGCAGAAGGGCCCTCAGATGCTGTGAATTTGGCCAGCGCAGGTGGTGTCTGCCTGTTGTGAGAATGTGACAGCCCCTCCCAGCCCAGTCCCACGGGCATTCGCGAGGAAACTGGCTGTGGATGTTCATGCCGGGCCTGTTTGTGGATGAGCAGAGGTCGCGCGGTTCTGGGGAGCTCCCTGTAGTCCATGTCGGCTGTGTGTCTGCCAGGCTGTTGCAAAAGCCCAAGGCATAGGCGTTGCCTGTGGCCGCTGGTGTTCTGCGGAGGTGGTGCCCTCCCAGAGGAGGGTTTCTCAGCCCTCAGGTCCCCCTCCATCCACCCCAGGACACTCTGTAGGCACCTGGAGCCCAGGAACCTGCCAAGCTGCATCTCTCCTGAGCTGCTGCTGTCACCAGCAGCCTGGCCAGGGCCACCCGTGCCCGTGAATGACCGTGGGTGCTTGTTTCCCAGCAGAGTACCCGCAGGGCCCAGTCCCCACCCTCTGGAACGAGCCGCCCGAGCTGCCCTCCGGAGCCGGCCCCTTCGACGCCGCCACCACCACAGCCCGGCTTTCAGACGCCACCGCCTTCCCCCCATACACCTCCGAGCTGGAGCCCGAGGACACCACCCACCTGCACCGCCTGGACGCCGAGGACGGTATGTGGCTGCGCAATGGGCTGCCCGCGGGTCGCTCCTGCAGTGGTGCAGGACGTCCTTGCTGTGGATTTACTCTTTATGGGCTTGTCACCTCCCAGGAGGTGTTTGAGTCACCAGAGGTGGGCTGTCCCCCGCCACACTGCTAGGGTCCCGGTCCCCCTGGCCAAGGCAACTCTCCCTGCCATAAAAGCCTCCCCTGCGGAGTGCTTGCCAGCCCCAGAGCAGCTGCTGAGGCATTTCTTCCTGCCCCAGGTCTGACCCGCCCCAGCAGGCACCTGCAAAAAGTGCCCTGAGCACAGGCAGGGCTCTCCAGGGCCAAAGCGTGCCTAAAGCTCTTTAAATGGGGAGTGTGAGCACCTTCCCTGGCTCCTGACCTACAGCGAACGCCTGCTGTTGGTGCAGTTCTGCAACAAGCAAAGCAACTCTCTCTGTGCAGGTGTTAACAGGAAAGCTGAGTGCCAAAGACCCGCTTTGTGGCAGCTGTCCTTGTCACGGGGAGCTGGCTAAGCAGGCAGTGGCTGGCTCCAGCCCCCTGCCCGAGGGCTCGATGCTGCTGGGGCACAGGACCACACCACGGCGGGGACAGGACCGCCGTGGCCAGGGTGGGGAGGTTGGGAAAGGAGTATGGCCCAATGGCTGGGGATGTGTTGGGGGGTGATCCCCGCAACCCTCCCCGTCTGGGACCCACCAGCTCTGACCTCACGCCACCTTCTCTGTCCCTGCAGGCTCGCTGGGGCCTGGAGCTATCGGTGCCATTGTCATCGCCTCCCTCCTGGGCACGTCCGTGCTTGTCGCCTTGGTCGTCATCACGCTGAGGAAGTTCTCGGCCTCCTGAACTCAATAAAAGATTTTTCTGTAATACAACCAGCCCGTCTTCTGCCCTCAGATGCTCCTGCTCCCCGTCTGCCCGGGACCCCTTGGGGACAAATGCTGCCACAGCTGCGGCAAAGGGCGCTCCAGCCTCTGCACTGGGCAGCAAAGCTGCACCCCAAAGTGCTCTTTGCTCTTAGCAGATCTCCTGGGTGAACGCAGACCTGGCGGGCTCGACCACAGCAGGCAGTGACGCCCTCGTAGTCGGGAGGGACCTGCAGCAGTGAGTGGTTTTGAGCTGGCAGCAGCTCTCTTGGTCTAAGCCTGGGTGGTGGTCACAGTGCTGGGCATCACCTCACACAGCTTTCCTTGGAAAGGGTTGTTCAGTTGGTGTAAACCACCCCAATACTTCCCTGGTGTCACCCCATCCCATGTTCACGTTCAGCCCTGCTTCCACCCCCTGCGTTTGGGCCAGCTGCCCCCCACTAGTTGCACTAGAGGGAACTGGGGAGGAGGCAAGCAGTCGGTGTCGGGGGGGGAGGAAGACAACACACACGTGTTGGTTTGGCGCTGGCTCGCTCAGCTATATTTCATCACACGGAAAAACGAGACAATGAAAAGTTCCCCTCAGTTTGCTGAGGCAGCCCGGCGGGGGCCGGGGGGGCTCCTGCCCGTGCTTGCGGGCCCCAGGCCTGGCCCTGTACAACACTTGAGACCACTGAAACGGAGGCGTGCAGGGCTGGGTCTGAGGAAGTAACACTGGATGCCACTTGGTGCCTGAAAACGGCACAGCCTGTGCCTAGGGTTTGGAGTCCTAAAAAGTCACAACAGAGCAAGAGGGGCCAGAGCGAGTCCCAGGGCTTGGCGGTGGGTCGTGGGACAGTGTGGGGCAGCCCTGAGCCCCTCTGCCCTGGAGAAGCGCAGAGGGGAACCTGGGTCAGCCCCTCCACTAGTGAAACAGCCGTTTCTGATGGGGAAGGGAGCATTTCTGTGCCATGAGAAATGTCCCAGGTGGGTGTGTGGGGCTGTAGTGCCAGGCTGCAAAGCTGGAGGATCTGGGATGTGGCGATTTCTTGGGTAATTTTCAGGACTTCCTAGACCTGGAGCTCCTCTGGGCTTTGCATTAAAGAATTTGTGGCTGCTGCAAGGTCTGGGCCCTGAGCTGGAGGTGTAGTTGTACTCAAAGTTGACTGTGGGGTGACCGGGGGGGGGGCTGAGTTGGGGGGTCCCCATTAAATGAGC